TAGGCTCTGCGGAATCCCAAGCTCATGGAGGAGGAGTAGAATGTTGCAACCGAGGGCACTGAATTGAGTAGGGACTGAGGACCCAGTAGGGACTGGCCTTCTGTGGCTGGAAGTGATGAACTTGTCCCAAACTCCTGGGAGCCAAGTGTCCTGAGCTCAGACCCAGGCTATTTCACTCCTTAGGGGACAATACAGAGGCGGACGAGGACGACACCACATCCCAGGATGTCGGAGACCGCACTATAGGGCCAAACCCTGCAATGGATGGTTATCAGGGAAGTGGAAATTGGGCCTTCCACAAGGTAGGGGGAGGCACAGCCACGCAAGGTGTTTGAAAGGGAGGGCTGGCCCCGGGCCTCGGGAAAGGGAGGGACTAACATTTGGGGGCGGCCCGGTCAGAGGAGCGTTTTCCTAGAGGCCAAGCCTGTTGTGAAGAAGGCAGCTGTGGCTCTGAGTGTGGGGCATTTATCAAATCAGAGGGATTTGACCGGGTGTGGGCGTTGCCATTAAAATTCAGCCCCAGGAAGGCCGTCGCTTTTCTTCGGAGAGAGGGGGACATTGATTGGGAAGGGCCAATTGGCACTCATTTTGTTGCAGGTGAATGTACAGGAGGGAAATGGTTTCATTGGGGTAGCTCTGGGCTGTATTAGATATCATCTAGATCAAATCAATAGCGTTTTTGCTTTCAAAGGACTTCTCCAATCAGTAGGTGGGGTGGGCGTGGCTTCAGAGTAAATTGAATAGAGCTGACCAATTAGGAGATGAGGGCTTGCCTAGATGGCGCGGGCTGGGATGTTTGACCAATCAGAAAGTACAGGCGGTTGAGGGCGTAACCCTGAGCCGGACTGGCCAATCAATAGTTGACAAGTCAGGGGGAACGGCTGTCACTCAACTTTGAATTCGGTGCGATGGCTAGGGCGACGACCTGGAAGAGAAGAAAGAGAAGTCGGAGTCTATAGGGAGGAACACCCCAGCGGCAGCCGACGAGGAGGTGTCCGGATCCCTGGGAAGCAAGGACGACACACACAGCCAAGACATGGAGAGCGCTGCCTTCCAGGAGGTGTCCGGATCCCTGGAAAGCAAGGGCGACACACACAGCCAAGATAAGGAGAGCGCTGCCTTCTTGGCGACCCTCTCCCCAGGCCCTCCGCTGGGCGAGGACATGAGGTCTTATGTGCTGCGGCCGGCGCTCCGGGGCCACGTGATGCAGTGCTGCATCACCCGCAGGCGTGGGTTGGGCATGTTCCCCTCCTACTACCTCTATCAGAATGTCAACGAGAACCTGAAGGTACACGGTCCAGCCCCGGGGACCGTAGGGAACAAACCCCGATACCCAAGGGACAAATCCCGCCCCTTTCTGAGCTAGGTCAAGACTTTGACGAATCCAGGCCTTGTGGTCATAGAGCCCTGGACCTTTAACTCCAATGCCAGGTCCGGCCTTTCCCCAAACTAGAATCCTCTCTTTACACAGCCAGGATACATCGGCCCTAATCATCTCATAATCAAGCCCTGTGCCCTCCAGGGTGGGACCCACAGTTCTCAAGGACAGCCCACCCCCTGTCAGGGTCCAAGCCCTCATCCTTTTGAGCTGGTCCAGTCCTTGTGGATCTGGACTTTCGCGGAGGCCCCGCCCAATCCTCTCGGAGCCCCGCCCCCAGGGACCGATCTCCTCCTAAGGGTTGATCCCTTCCACAGCCAAGCCACACCCCTCTCAGTCTGGCCATTACCCTCCAACCATGGCCTTCTTTCCCCAGGGAACCATCTCACATAAAGAAACCTTTTCCCTACTCAGAGGCAAACCCACCTTTCTCAGATAAAACGCCTACCGCAGGCCTCCTGTGCTATGTTGCAAGTGAGGTTCCTCCCCGTTCTCCAAGGCCAGGCCCTGCCTGTCACAGTCAGAATGGCCCTGTCTGGGTTTAAGCTCCAATCCGGGACCCCCTGGCAGAAGGAATGAGGGGGAAATACTAGGACACAAAGCTCCCATTCAGGACCCAGCTGACGGCTTCCTTCAGTAAGAGCCGTGTCTCCTAACAGTCTTGAAATGCCTGTTGTGCCATCACCTGCCCCTCGGGCATGGGACGTAGCATTTCCTAGTCTTTGGACTCCTAGCTTTAGCCAGATAGCAGAAATCCTTTCTGATGGGCTGTTCCTCTCATCTGCAGTGCTTCCTCCTGGCTGGGCGAAAGAGAAAATGGAGCAAAACCTCTAATTACCTCATCACTCTGGACCCCACAGACCTTTCTCGGAAGGGAAACAACTTTGTGGGCAAAGTCAGGTGGGCAGAGTACTGCTGTGCGGTGAGAAACAGGTAGCAGGGAGCTTGCGGACAAGGGGCTCCATTTCCAAACAGGCCAGAGAGCACAACTTATGTCTATTCTAAGGGTTTTTAGTTCTTCAGGGCTGATGGAGGAGGCTAAATAAAATACAATGTTCCCCAAAACTGGGATTGGGGAGGCTGGGACCTAGGATGCACGAAACATGAAGATTGACAGAAACATAAAGGATTGATAGAGTGGATGAGATGACTGAAAAAGCACTTAACATACAGCCAAAGAGTAACACTTTTATTATTATTATTATTATATCTATTTTTTTTTTGAGTCAGAGTCTCACTCTGTCTCCCAGGCTGTAGTGCAATGGCATAGTCAGGACTACCAAAGCCTCTGTCTGCCGAGGTCAGGCGATCCTTCAGAATGAACTCTCCAAATAGCTAGAACTACAGGCGTATGCCATCATGCATAGCTAATTTCTTTTATTTATCGTAAAGACGAGGTCTCACCAAGTTGCCCAGGCTGGTCTTGAACCCGTGGGCTCAGGCAATCCTCTCACCTCCACCACTTAAAGCGCTGGGATTACAGATGTGAGCCACCGTGCCCGGCCATCACTTGCAATATATTAATTCCATTCTCCTGCTGGAGCAGATCCAATGTCTTGGGCACCAAGTTTGCCATCTTCGACAACGGGATGAATCCCCAACGGAACAATGTGGACCCTGATGCTGTCCGGATCAGACAGGAGCTGGGAGCTGTGTGTTACGTGAGTGTCCCGGAGTTAGAGAAAAACCGGGCAGGATGGTGGGAAGGAGGGAGTCAGGCCGGCTGGAATATACTCCTCCTAGGAGGCTAACATCTTGGGACGGCGGGCGCCTCGGAAAATGACAGTGATCATCCCGAGAGTGGACAGACAGAACCAGAGAATCCGCGTCCAGCCACAAAACGTGAGTCCCCGGGGGGGTGGAAGAGGAGGGGCTGGGGGCCGGTCCTCCAAGATCCCAGAGGAGGCGGCGGCCGGTGGGTTGCAGGTCACAGGTGAAGCCTAAAGGACTGGTGACTCCCGTGGCTCGAGGAATAAAGACCAGAGACTCAGAGTCTGCATCGGGAGACAGGGGGATTAATGGTCGGGCTGCAAGCCACGCCTCCTGCTTTACCTTCTAGGAGCACCAATCTTTACTGAGTCACTTAAAACGCGGGACTCTCCGAGGGCTGGTTTTGATGCGCAATGAAACCCCGACGTGGAGCCAAGACAGAAATCTCTACGAGTTGGATTTTCGTGGTCGAGTCTTTCAGGAATCCATGAAGAACTTCCAGATCTTGCACCCGCAGACCGGTGAGCGCCTGGGAATTGACGATGAGAACTACATTTCCCATCAGCACTTGCGTGTTTGCTAGATAGGGCAGACGCTACGACTGTGGCAAAACCTCTTGGGAATTGTAGTTTACACGGCCCTCAGAGGGTGCTGGGCTTAGCAAGGGCGTTGTACAAGGCTCTTTTTCTCTCTCTCTTTTTTTTTTTAAGTAGGAGTCTCATTCTGTCACTCAGGGTTGCAGTGACACGTTCACGGCCACCGCAGCCTCGACCTGCTAGGCTCAGGCCATCTTTCTGCCTCAGCCTTCCATGTAGCTGGAACCACAGGTGTGCGCCACTGCACTCAGCTAACTTTTTGATTTATCGTAGAGACGAGGTCTTGCCAAGTTGCCCACGCTGGTCTCGAACCCCTGGAATCAGTCAATCCTCTTGCCTTAGCCTCCCAAAATGCTGGGATTACAGGCATGAGCCACCGTGCCTGGCGCACAACCTCTTAGAAGTCCAGTTCTCCAAACTCCGGGCCAGGGAGATGGGAGAAGGGGTGACTTCCAAGGCTTAGTTTCTTATTTCCTCCTCAGGGGACCTGGTGCTGCAGTTTGGTCGTGTGGCCAAAGACTCATTCATCATGGACTTCAGCTTCCCGCTTTGCCCACTCCAAGCATTTGCCATCTGCTTGTCCGGTTTTGATTGTAAGCTGGCCTGTGAATAACTCAATAAAATACCACCTTCTCACTGTGACTGCCCATTGGAAGAAACAAGACTTCTTTTGCACCACCTTAATAGTAACTGACAGGGGCCAGGGGCAGTGGCTCATGAATGGAATCTCAGTACTTTGGAAGGCTGAGATGGGAGGATGGCTTGAGCCCACAAATTTAGGACCAGCTTGGGTAACATGTTGGGACCTCGTCTCCACCAAAAAGAAAGAAAGAAAGAAAGAAATAGGCAGGTGTGGTGGCCCTCACCTGTGGTCCCAGCTACATTGGAGGCTGAGGCAGAAGGATTGTCTGAGTTCAGGAGATTGAGGCTGCTGTTAGCCATGATCATGCCACTGTACTTCTGCCTGAGCAACAGAGTGAGACTGACTAAAACAAATAACAATAATAATAGCAGTACGGAACGATTATTAGATGCCACCTGAGTGTCCAATCTGGTGCTCTAGGGCATGGACTGTTCAGCAGCACTTACTCTGATGGAGTTCACAGGTGATCATGGGGAATGGGCCTTGAATAACAAACAAAGACAAAACACTCAGAGAAGTGCAACAGTGAATGAGACGCCTAGCAAGACTGACTCCATGTTGCTCCTAACCCCCATCACCACCACCCTGCTCCCTGCCCTGCTGTGATATTTTCTAGATTAATGTCTTTGCTTATCTCTGCACTTAGACCAAGTTAATTATGGACAGAGTTTATAGTTTATTATTTTATTTTTTTTAGTCAGATTCTCACTCTGTTACCCAGGCTGGAGTTGAGTGGCATGCTCACAGCTACTGCAGCCTGGATCTTCTGGGCTCAGGAGATCCTTTCACATCAGCCTCCCAAGTATCTGGAACTACAGGCATGTGCCAGCACACCTGGCTAATTTTTTTATGTATTGTAGAGATGAGGTCTCACTAGATGCCCCAGCTGCTCTCGAACCTGTGGGCTCAGGCAATCCTCTCACCTTGGCCTCCCAAAGTGCTGGGATTATAGGCATGAGTCACTAAGTCCCACGGAGTTTATAGTTTAAGCAAGAATAATAATAGTCCCTTCCCAAAACTAACCTACAGGAGACAATGAGTGTGCCCATCAGGTCAGTTCCGCTGGTAGCAAAGATTTGTATGAGAATCAAGCAAGCAAAAGAGTTTGTTCACCTTACAAGAAAGTGAAGGGCTGGGCATGGTAGCTCATGCCTGTGATCCCAGCACTTTGGGAGGCGGAGGCAAGAGAATTCCTTGAGCCCATGGGTTCAAGATCAGTCTGGGCAACATGGTGAGACCTCGTCCCTACAATAAATCAGAAAATTAGCCAGGAGTGATGGCACAACACCTGTAGTTCCAGCTACTTGGAAGACTGAAGAAGAAGGATCGCCTGAGCCCAAGAAGTCGGGGCTGTGATGGCCGTGAGTATGCCACTGCACTCCAGCCTGGGTGACAGAGTGAGACTCTGATTCAGAAAAAATAAAAAGGAAGTGATGGGGTTGGACAGTAAGAGAAGCTTTGGCACCATATGAAGATTCTTTTCAGGAAGTTAGGGAAGGGAGGTGATGGTTTTGCAAAGAGCATTCTAGTGGAGCGTGATCTTGGGGGAGGGGGTATGGTATGATCATTGCCAAGGACACCAGCAGCTTGAGTTTCAGAAGGTAATGGATCATGTAGACAGAAAGACAGGGCCAGGGTCTGTAAGATAAATTTTTTTTGTTGGAGTCTCACTTTTGTCACCCAGGCCGAAATGCAGTGGCATACTCACGGCCACCACAGCCTTGACCTGCTGGGCTCCAGTGATCGATCCGCCTCAGCCTTCCAAGTAGCTGGAAATACAGGTGTGCACTACCATGCCCGGCTAATTTTTTTTTTTTTTTATTTATTGTAGAGATGAGGTCTCACCAAGTTGCCCAGGTGGGTCTCGAACCCGCGGGCTCAGGCAATCCACTTACCTCAGCCTCTCAAGGCACGGGATTACAGTCTGAGTCACTGAGTCTGGCGACAAATTCTAAAAACACAAATGTTTAACTTTTTAGAATGTCCTTGTACCCAGGGAACCAAAGATATAAGGAAACTTAGCTGGGAGTGTGTTGAGCATCCTTGGGTTCAAAATGTTCTTAAAACATAATAGGTTATTCTTTTTTTTTTTCTTTGAGTTGGAGTCTCACTCTGTCGCCCAGACTGGAGTGCAGTGGCCGCTCCCGGCCACCGCAGCCTCGACCTGCTGGGCTCCGGCGATCCTTCTGCCTCAGCCTTCCGAGTAACCGGAATTACAGGCATGAACTACCACGCCCGGCTAATTTTTTTATTTATTGTAGAGATGAGGTCTTGCCTGCCCAGGCGGGTCTCGAACCCGCGGGCTCAGGCAATCCACTCACCTCAGCCTCCCAAAGGCGTGGGATTACAGGCTGAGCCACCGAGCCCGGCTTGGTTGTTAATCTTAATAAGAATAACCTATTAGCTGGGCTCGGTGGCTCAGCCTGTAATCCAGAGGAGAGGGACAGCAGAGCATGACCTCCGTTCTTTCAGGAATCCCTGAAATTTGTAGGATTAACCTGGACTTGAAGTTGAGCTTTCTTTCAGAAAGGCAGTCTGTATTTCCCTAACCACAAACCCGCAACAGGATGACCTGAGCTCAGCCATGCTTTCCGGACCTGGATTGGCATGTGTCTGTAGTTCCAGCTACTTGGAAGGCTGAGGCGAAAGGATGGCCTGAACTCAGCAGGTTGAGGCTGCAGTGGCTGGGAGCGTGCCAATACACTCTAGCCTGGATGACAGAGAGAGACTCTAATTCAAACAAAACAAAACAATTTCCTCCAAGAGAGGAGAATTTAACCTTCCTGGGCACAAAAAAATGGGTGCAAAAGAAAGGACAAGACTGAAACACTCTAACTATGATCAGCTGAATAGAGGCCATTTTGGTTATAATCAAACAGTTATTTATAAAAAAATACTTAGAACGTGGCGCTAAAAAACTTTCTTTTGTAGCTGAGTTGTGCTAAACATAGAAGCTGCTGGAGTGCAGGGGCATGCTCACGGCCACCCCAGTGTCGACCTGCTGGGCTCAGGCGATTCTGCTTCAACCTTCCAAGTAGCCAGAACTATAGGCGCGTGATAGCACACCTGGTTAACTTTTTTTGATTTATTGTAGAGATGAGGTCTCTCTGAGTTGCCTGGGTTGGTAAACCCCTTGAATTTAAAATGCATGATTTTCCTTTTCCCACGCTGTGCTGCCAATGTGGCCACTTCCCTTTCTCCCTCGAGGCAGCCACTCCTGACTGGTCTGGAAGGCCAGTCATATCTAGTAAGCCACTGCTGGTGTTGGAGAAGAAACAGCCGGTTACGCCGGACCACCTGATAGTTAGGAGACATAGAAAACGGCCCTTGGAGGCCAGGAGTGTGTCTGAAAGCCTGGTGTAGGCACTGTCTACCTTCCCTCCATCTCTGAGTATGAGGGCATTGTGGACTGTTACAGGCCAGGACTCTGGAAACAGTGGATTGTTGCCATTATGTTTTCAAACAACTTAGAGCTATCGTTTTATTTTATTTTATTTTTTTTTGAGTTGGACTTTCACTCTGTTGCCCAGACTGGAGTGCAGTGGCCGCTCCCAGCCACCGCAGCCTCGACCAGCGGGGCTCCGGCGATCCTTCCGCCTCAGCCTTCCGAGTAGCCGGAACTACAGGCATGCGCTACCATGCCCGGCTGATTTTTTTGATTTATTGTAGTGAGGTCTTGCTGCCCAGGCAGGTCTCGAACCCGCGGGCTCAGGCAATCCACTCACCTCAGCCTCCCAAAGGCACGGGATAACAGGCTGAGCCACTGAGCCCGGCATAGAGCTATCATTTTAAAAGTGACTTTCCCTTGCTTCCAAATGTTGCAATTCTCTGCCCCTTCCTCTGAAAAACTGTAGAAGAACATGTTGTAAATTTCAGAGTGTTATCTGAAGACATCAGCTTGACCAGGAGACTTTCATGGTCAGAAAATTCTGAGTCATCCTAAAACTGCACGTAGACTTCAAACTCAAGGTGGATAAAGAGCTATGAATTCTGAGTATAAACTGTGGAATGAGTTTGTGTTGCAGAAATTAAACTTTTTCTCCCAGTTTCTACCTCTCATCTTTGATTGACTGCAAGGGATAGCAGCTGATGTGGTAGACCTAAGAAAAACATTTGGTAGCCGGGCTTGGTGGCTCAGCCTATAATCCCGTGCCTTTGGGAGGCTGAGGTGAGTGGATTGCCTGAGCCCGTGGGTTCGAGACCCGCCTGGGCAGCAAGACCTCATCCCTACAATAAATAAAAAAAATCAGCTGGGTGTGGTAGCGCATGCCTGTAATTTCGGCTCCTCGGAAGGCTGAGGCGGAAGGATTGCTGGAGCCCATTAGGTCGAGGCTGCGGTGGCCGGGAGCAGCCACTGCACTCCAGTCTGGGCAGCAGAGTGAGACTCCAACTCAAAAAAAAAAAGAAAAACATTTGGTGTCTCTGCTGGGACAATATTGCTTGCAGGCCAGTTGCTTGTGGCCAGCTTCAGTGTGGTTGACTCACGGAAAACCTCAGCAGCTGCCAGAGCCCTTTTGCTTCAGGGACTCTCTGAGGGACCTTCCCACCGATTATGGCCAACTTTGTTCTGCAGGAAGGCTGGGAGATAATGGGGCTTAGAGTGCTCATCTTTGATTGGACATGCTTAGTCAAATCAGGCCATAGGCCAGGAGTTGGTTGTCTTTCGTTTGGTTTCTGTCAACCAATTTATAGGCACCAGGGAAGCATGGTTCTATCTCATTAGGGTTTTGTATTTGGATACTCTTTGGTTTGCATTTTGTAAATTTTTAGTCTCTAGAGTTTATTTGGAAACAATTTGAACACACAGCTTGTTTTGTTTTTGGAAGAGGGCGTGCCAGATTTCTAAAAATCCTGGATGGCTGCTTTTTTTTTTTGAGTTGGAGTCTCACTCTGTCGCCCAGACTGGAGTGCAGTAGCCACTCCCAGCCACCGCAGCCTCGACCTGCCGGGCTCCGGCGATCCTTCCACCTCAGCCTTCCAAGTAGCCGGAATTACAGGC